TGCTTCTTTAGGAAGAACCTTGGAAGAATGAAAGGGAGGATAAATAAGCTGGGTACCAGCAGGCAAGCAAGATATTGCACATAATTGTGTATTGAAAGCATACAGTCAATTCCTTGGTGAGAATCTGGCTACCAAATACCAGTGATATCAAAAGTAAATTCGGTAAATAGATGGGCAGTTAAGACGCCTAACAAACGAAATGTCAACAAATGAAAATAATTTGGTGCCAGGACTAGTAGACACATTTACTGGATTGTGAGTTGATGTGGCAGTCAAATGGTGAGCGATCAAGGTCAACGAAAGGACACTTTTAAGCAAGGAGAATAAAATTAAACAATTAGTTTGAAAAATTGAAGAATGTTTCAATCATCGACACCTCTTCCTCGAGCAATGCTTGGCAGTAACGGAAATAAACTTTGTACTTCATAGCCATCGCGGATCCCCTTGTCATTCGACTCCAAATCATACTAGTGAGCCAAATCACCTTGACACGTTGCAGACACCCAAGACGTACTTTGGAGAATAAAGGTAAGTCAGGTTTCTTTTAATTGTGCGCTAACCTGAGACATAGCACGAACTATTCGACGTCCAGCCATAGTGGTAAATTCTCCCGGTAGCCCGACGATCACTAACCGACCGATTCGGAAAATCTGTGTTTCCACAATACTGGGATGCCATGGAAGGGGATAGTTCATCTGTAAAAATGTTCAGGAAAAGATGGACTCTGAAGTACTTGATAGGCAAAGATAATTTTGGATGACATCCATATGAAGGGCAGAAAGTGGCAGTAGGGCAGTGCAACAGTGGATGGATGTAGCAACGGATCCATGCACCACACAATTCTATCCCACGAGACACAAACGTGTTAAAATTGCCACAAATCCGCATTCGGAATCTGAAGACCACTTCTTTTACCATCTCTCGAGTTTTGGTTTCCGAATTCTATAATAATTAATGAGATGTTCTAGCATCAAGAGTTGGTAGCAACCATCATCAAGTTGATTCTTTAATTCTGCCAAGAAATCTTGACTGGTAATGCCCAAATTTTTGCAATTCAGTTTGGAAGGAGGGGGAAAGGGGCTGCATTTCGGACTTTTTGGAATCCAACGCACATTTCGTTCTACATTCGACGTACCAGACCGGTTGGAATGAGGATTGGTTTTGGAGCATGGCACTCAATCATGTCCTTGGAAGGTTTGGGAAGGAGACGACTGAGAAGGGACCAGAAGGTGGTTTCATTCAACATACCTAGGTGCAAAATTCAAAAGAAAAAACGCGGAAAGCTAGATAATCACCTTCCCTTTGAGTTGGAAGCGATAGCCATAGGGTATCAACAAGTAAGGGTTGCCATCATTTCAACTTCTCTGAACACCCTATTGAAAGAGATCAGCAAATAGTACCAACAGTCTTTTTTAACACAAAAGAAAGTGAAAGTCTCAGTGACCCGTTTACCTTTTATAATTAAAGAGTACGTTTCATTGCATTTTAAATTTTTTGGATGTCAGGGTAGTCTAACCTTTAATTCAAGAGATGCAATGAACCTAGGTTACTTTTAGTGCAATTATTTTGAATCGTGCACTGCCTGCTAATGGCTATCCAGTTTAGGGCATATTAGAGTAGACGTTAGCAACAAGAAAACCGACAAGTCTGTTGAATTTGTCAGTAACTTGAAATACGGGTGATTTAATTAAGCTAAGCAGGCCACAAAAGTCATTTGGAGTGTCGGCAAAAAGCCCATGAAATGGCAAGTAGTAGGTGCATGCATGAACGTTTACCTTGCGTAAAATCGGCTATTCCGGGTCCATCTGTAGTGCCAGCCGCAAAACTATAACCAAGTGCCGGGGTACACGTTCTTCCGGTGGTGACGCCTTTCTAAAAGCAAGTCCAACTTAACTAGCCAAAAAGCAAAGAAGCTACCTCGAGATGGGGTAACTCGAGCTCTTAGTCCACTTTGTTATTTGAACGAGTGATCACACTTTCTATGCGTAAATTTAAAAATGAGCCTAGACTTCTTACACCGCCTGCTATGACTATGCGAGTGCTCTTGAGCAAGCTAAAAGTTTAATGGCCTTCAGTCTGGTGTTGGTTCAAGATAAAAAAATTAACGCCGCTAAATCGACCAGGCAAGTGGTGGTACAGCTCAGAGCAGAGACGTCCAGAGCACGCGGACTTTCCTCTTGACTCTAATGGAAGCAGAACATTTTCCCATTACGAAATAGAATGCCAAACACAAGAATAAGTTTCCTTGCGAGTCTTTAAGCACGCGTTCACTCCTGACAATCTTGCTATACGCAACGCTGACCTTTTGGGATGAACAGTTCCCTTTCTCCCCTATTATTGTGGTTAACTTCATCTATATTCGCCTGACTTAAGATAAGAATAGTTGAGGGAGCATGCCTAAGCGCATGCACCATGGGCTTGCCCAGAGGAACAAGTGGGGAGTTGAAAGGGACTGCATGAACATGATTTGGTGGTTTAAGACTTTTAACATGGACGGGAACAATTTTGAGAGTGACGGTCCCTGGGTCGCAGTCCCAACATTCATAACTGAGGCTATTCTACTTAAACGCAAAATGTCCATTCAATTTCTGACTTGGCGCGAAAATACACGAAACACAGAATAATGCAAAAATTAGGATCACAATTACCTATGCAGAAATGCACCTTCATCATCCCATTGCATTCTGGTCACGCAGTCAGGGCAATTGATTAAGAACGATTTAATCTTACAGAAAACTATTGCTCAAATGTCACACTCTATATGGCATCAAAACAAATAGTAGCTTACGTGTTCTCCGGATCCATAAGTGACATTGACATTGGTCATATCGACGAATTGATGGCGAAAATCTATGACTGCATCATTTTCACCAATCAATTCGCGATTCGCTTTAATATACAACTCCTTAGCCATTTCGAATTGACGTTGAGCAATCAGCCTTGCACTTTCAAACATATCTCCGTTGGCGCCTGGTCCAAGAGCGATGCATTTTTGAACCTATGGAATGGTAGGTAGCAAAACTTTGAAACATTAATTTCGACTCTTCTACTGGTCCACTGTTTCCTTGAGCAAATCATCAAGATGTATACGATTTTATCCTGTCTACTTCAAACACACTTCCCACACGTTCAGATATGTCAATAGTAGATCGGTCGGGCAAATCAGATCGCCTTGCAGCAAGGTCAGGAAATGAAATATAGTAATCCTCACCTTACCATTGCTACAGGCACTAGTGAGAGGATCACAGGGCGCCCCAGTATCAACACACCGTGCTCCTCGCGTATTCGGTGAGACGTCGCCTTCATTGGCTTGAGCAAATGCGGCCACAAAGTTGTGTCCCTTCACACCCTTACCGGTGTTAACATCATTCATCCATCTTTCAAAGAGCAACTCGGCCAAGCCCTTGTTGTCGCTGCTGACAAGGCGGTTTGTTTTGTTCAAACTGGTGCCATGTACTGCAAACCAATTGAGGGCTCCAAGTTCTCGTCCATCGTTTGCGACAAACTTTAGAAGCAGCATCCGTTGATCAACGTCATGAGGATAGCTGATACATGAAATGATAGAGTGGTGTTATCGCTTACCCAACTGTCATGAGTAATCAGCTATTGATGAAACCTGAAGTTTTAGCCTTAAATCTTCAACTCGCTGTCTATTCAACCTTTCAGGAGAGTCTTCTTAGTAATAAACTTTGTTCATAATAGAGAGGACAAAATAAATTAGTTGCGGGGAGATAGCCAAAAGCATGGATGATCTCAAATGCCTTTTTAAACGCTGGTGTCATCAATCCCAAGATCTTAATTTATCCAATCCCTCCTTCGTACGGTTACAAATTATGATAATTCCTAGTTAACTATCAAAGGTTCCGTTGGGAAAAATCTCTGATTAGTAGAAACTTCAAACTCGAGTGTACAATTCCACCTTCTCTACGCATTAATCGACTTCTAAGCAGACTATTATCAACTAAAAAGACAAATTAAGCAATTGAAAAGAGCAAGACAAATCCACAACCTACAGATTACGTTCTGTCTCCGGATTTTGCTGATAGGAAAGGGGACTGCGATTAATGCTAGCATTTGCGAGGTCACCAGAGGCATAAAGAATTCGGCCTGCTGTCAACGACTGGAAAGCCAATTTGACACTCTAAGAGTGGACAAAAATACAAAGAACAAGTTGCATATTTGTGCAAAATCTAACATCCGTAAGCTTCGAAACAAGGCACTGAGCGAATGTTATAGCTTGCCAAGATCCGTTACTTTTGCAGCCAGTGACGCAAAACCATGACCTAGAAAAATTAGAACGTTGCTGCGCCTAAGTATGACAAGAAAATGCCAACAGAGACTAAGACCAATGGCACCGCCGTTAACTAATGAACTGTACCCTTTGCTGAGGCATAGTGCCTCAAGAAAATGTCATCGTCAACTATTAATGAGGATAAAATGATCCACTATGATAACAACAGAGCAAAATCATGATAATTGGACGATAGAGGATAGCACAAAATAGACTTAACTTTAAATATTTGGGATAAAAAAATGTAAAAGTGCGTTTTTAATCAATCAACCCATCACATCGCTTGACACTTCAAAAGGGGTAGCAAGCGCCAACT